CTCTGTCGTTTTCAACAAGCCCGTCCCTCTTCCTCAAAGGCCAGTCACGAAGGCGAATGTTATGACTATTTTCAGGCGCGTCAAGATGCCTTCTCTGCCAAAAAGCGTCGTCTCATCGACCAATTGTTCGATTTGTGGGACATCGATACATCGGGTTTCATCGAGGTTGAAAAAATACAAGTTGTGTTGAATAAATGGACAACTGACAACGACCCTTACCCTACCGGTAAGTACCAGAGTAGACACGTGTTAATGTTWAAACGGGATGCTGAGCAATGTGGGATATGGGGAATGCGCAATCGCYAATATAAAGGTTCGCAATTCAAGGCGAATGCTCTGTGAGACGTGATCATTTTGTTCGGACTAATTTAAGTTGTATTTATAAACTCTTTTATTGATTAATTAAATGATTGTATTATTTGTTCTGTAGCATACGAAGCACTAAGTAAAATCAAAACAAAACTCGATCGACAAGAATTCCGTGATTGTATTAACGGCATCTTTAGTGGACTTGAAGAAGGAGAGGATGAGTTTGAGTTGTTCATCAAGTTTTTAATGACCAGCGTCGAGGTAAGATTTTCGGCATGTCGTTTTGATCTAACAATTCTTTCAATTTAGTGAGTAGCTCCTCTTGCTATGCGCAGCATGTCCGGTAGACAGAATGCAATATTGTCTAAGTTATTGGTCGTTGCAATACCCACGCCCATGCTTAAAGTATAGTTTACAACATGAGCGGCCGTGTTGTATGGAAGTTCTGTTATCCGTCTTTGATTGCTTCAAAACCTAGTGAAGGTCTATGATGCGACACTAAAACTGAGACCTTTGCTAGTGTTGGGTTGTCTCAATGGTGACAACCGTGTTGTAAATCTGATACAACCACTAGTGGTTGTATCAGATTTACAAGGTCAATCACCTGATTAAATGGTCAGCCCTTATTGGAGCAATAGCTTATGCATTATTAATAAGTTTTATAAGCCGATTTACTAAAACTTCAAACTTCCTTATATGTTAAGAACTTCGTTTGTTTTTACAGCGGTCATTCGAAGAGCGCAGGCGTAGTGAGACACGTAAGCGTTGGCTAGGTGCCATCGATCTTTCCGCGCAAACAAGTGGCGCGAACCTCGACCCAGTCTACAACACGGTCTTCCAGATTCTTTACAAAGACGCCGAGGAGCATGGTCGCAATAAAACTATCAGTGCATTCGTTAGTATGCTTGAAAACAACGTTGATATAGAGACAATCTCTCGGGGTGATACAATGCTGAGATACGTGGCCTGCACACCAGAAGACATTGGCTTTATGTTGGGTAAAACGTTGTATAGAAATATGAAAGCWGTCAGCTGGGCAGCGGTTGATACCGGTAAACCTATACATGTCCCTAAAGTCGGCAGCCATGGAGGGGTACACTTCTGGAATCTTTCGAGAAAACCTGAGGTTAGTGAGAATTTTTCGCTTGCATATATTTAAGTTCTCGCCGTTATTAAAAGTATTCATTGCAGCTAATAGACGAAATCTTTTGCAAGTAAAAATGTTTTACTGTTCTTTTTTCACTAAACCTGATGCAGGACTACTGCTACSGGTACACACTTATCCGGTTACATGCACTTATCCTGAAACATATACTGATYCGGCTGCATTCTTGATATTTAGAGTACAGATGGATCTCTAATCGTACTACCACTMAAGGACCACGAGAAACGAGTCATTGGTTTGCTGGGTATCGACACTCTGAACGACCAGCATAAAATACAGTTTATTACTCACGAAATCACTTTCTACCAGGTAAAAACACAAGCACAGTGAATAAGAGAATCWTATTTTGTTTTCACCAAACTTTCTTTCTTTCTCCCTTTTGCAGAAAGTTATATTTCAATTTGATTGTAGGTTCGCATCAGTCGACATGCAGAAATCTGTACACTTTCACAGTGCACTTCAAGACTAAAAATCAGGCTCTGACAACTAAAAGAATAATCTATTGTTTCCTCTGAGCCTCTGAGATCGTTTAAAAAGAAATTAATCCCCCCCCCCCCCAAAAAAAAAAAAAAAAAAAAGAAAGAAAGAAAGAAAAAAGAAAGAACTCGAAATAATAAGTTAAAACTACTATCAGTAACAGTTTCAAGAAAAGAAATACAACAATATGCGTAGAAAATCATCTATAATGTACTATGTTTGTTCTATCAATTCGCAGGGTGCAGCCAAGGCTCTAGGTCAAGCTATTCAATTCATAGATGTACGTAAAAAGACGTTGCGTGTGGCRGAGTCAGCGGTGAAGTGGATTCTTCGACGAAGCCAAAACGTACAGAATGTTAACGTGTATTTAGTCGAGCCTGGACTAAGGGTAAGTAAATAGTGGACGGTACTAGTTGTCTATGTAAATAGTTTCGTAACTGTTATAAGATATAGTCTCCATAAAGCACAAGCTGGCAGGCGTTATTCTCCTTTCTATCTCTCCCTATTCTTCCGTACCAGTCTACCAGGGACATCGACAAGCTAAATTCTATAGTGAAAAACAGGAAACCCAAGTAGTCAATAGGGCCTGTTTTTGGTCATATACCACAAATAACGATAGTGCGATCGAGTCCTCGCAGCCTTTTTTTCCGCAGCCATATATAGGTATCCCAATGCAGGTCCAAAAGAGTTGAGCTACAGCCTATTTCGCAAACGAAATGCATGCAAAGTCTAAACTTTATTGTAATAATTTCAGCCAGCAGATGGCATGGTTGTGCGTCGTATGATGGTGCTTGGTCATAATGGATTTGTACAGCGATTTAGCAACCCGACAAGACTTGACAGAAAAGACAATCTTTTCAGGTATACAACAGCGATAGAAACAACTACATGRCGGGACTCGAACCCTGCAGCAGTCCATCGGACTGCACGATAAGCGCCATGAACACTCAGTCGTGCTCAGTACGTACTTCAGATGTACTTCGATTCCTATATAAGCTTTTTCTTCTTTGCTTTGTACAGGGATTATTTGTTCAAGTGTATTGAAAGTTCAGAGACGATTACAGCCGACGCGTACGGTGAACGTCACATGGCGTTTCCGTTACGTGACGCAGAAGGTCGCGCCGTTGCCGTTGTTGATATCAGTATTGGCGCGTTAAAAGCGTTACCAACGCACGAAAATAAAGAAATTCAAAGAATGTTACGCTTGCTGGCCATGGCGCATAGGGAGGTCGCACGTGAGGTAGCGGGAATGGAAAAGAACATTGTACTGGGTAAGTAAGTCGTTTAGGGATTATTTGATGGTTTTTAAAATAAAATAAATAAAAATTAAATTCATTAAATTAAATTAAATTAAAATAAATAAATTAAAATAGCGTTCTCCACTGTACGATATACCGCGTTGCAAAAATTATGAAAATTTCAACAATATCGATATATGCAYATATCAAATGCATTGTGGGTAATTTCCCACTAAAAAAGTTAGTAAACCCCATTTAAGGCAGAAATCGCTAATGTTTTTTTTGCCAATATGTTATTCAGATACTTGCTTTTAATATTTACAAATGCGATTTACGATACATGTACAGAAAAGCAGAAAGATATTGTTGACGACTTTTTTCTAAAAAAAAATCAAAACGCTTTATTGGCATTCGTTATATTCATGATTTTACATTTGGACTATAATGCAATTCTTTCGAGTAATTATACTGATATTAACTGCTTAATTTTAATGTTTTTAGAGGTTGAAAAAGAATTCGAAAGCGCACGTATCGATGTTCTATTTGATCGTCTGATGCTACTTGATTTGAGAGAAAATGTCGGGAGGCTGGACGCCAGGTAATGAGTTACTTTGCTATATGATTCACTTTTATATGACTCTTAGAAACCATCTATAGCCAAGGAATTGTTTTTAATGCTTTTAAAAGCAATRATCCAAATTCAATTTGTCCCTTCGTTACCCAGTTTCTCTGTTTTTGAAGAGGCGACCGTATCGGCAATAAATTCTAATGTTTCCTATTGGTTGGCAATAAGTTCTATTGTTTTCCATTGGTTGAATCTAAACTTTAAAAAAAGAGAATTAGAAACTGGAGTATAAGTTCTATTGTTTCCTCCCATTTCAGAGCGTTTGCGGAAATCAAGAGCTACAAGGACCCCCCTAAAGTAATCCATGACATACTAAAGGCCGTTCTAGGGATCTTCAATACCGATATTGAGCTGCAAGCTCGGTTCGAGGAGTGGACCACATGTAAGCAGTATATAAACCAAGACTTAGTGAAAAATATCACATCGTACGATCCGACAGCGCGGGAAAATGTCGTTAAAGTGGACGCAAAGACTCTRGCTAAAATCTTACAAGGTATTCTTTCATTTAAATCTAGGCATGCCTTAGTTTTATTGTCAGTAGCAATGAAGTTTCTTTAATGGACAACTTATACGATGCGGCGGCCATTTTTGGAAGGGTCAAACTTTTGTTAGAAGATGAATTGACAAAATGGACATRAGAGAAATTACAAATATACCAAACTTTCAGTTGTGATTTAACATTTTTGTATACCTTGCCCTGGCCCCTCCATAATGCCTTTCAATTCAAAATCCTGTTCTATCACCAAAAAAATATTACGCTCATCTTTTGATGATCATCTCTCTAATATTATGTTATGTTATGTTCTTTTCTTTTCTTCTTTGTTGTTGTTGTTGTTGTTATTGTTCATCGATGTCCTTGAAGCAAGAAAAAAATCTTTGTCTCCTAAAAGTGAATGACCAGCGTCGAAGTTATCCATTTGCCCTTTTTACCATATGTCCCTCATATAGAAGTGTATTCATTGTGTTTTATTTCCTTGTTAGACGTACCACAAGGAGCTGTTGCCAAACATGGATCTCTGCCTGCACAGTACTTGTTTAACTGGGCGTTTGTTTGTCTGTCACTTATTGAACACACGGATAAGATGACGGAGACTCGACCAGGCAAGGTTATTAGTCCTCACGCTACAAGCTCACTCATGGTTGACCAYGGRAAAGGACGAAGAGATTCGCCYACAGAGACAATCAATACCACTTCTAGGACAGCAAACACTGCTGTGGATATTTAGATATTTGGATAATATTAAAATATTTTTGTAAGAATAACGACATAATTTACAAAAATAGCAGTTAACTTAGTATGGAGAACAATGAATTTCTCGTGCTAGTTTTCACATACATAGAGTCTTCCAGACTCAACCCGTGTGAAACACTTGGTCAATGTTCACGTATTATTCAGTAAAAGCAAAGGAAAACAGTTCAATTACGGACGACTGCTAGCAAGTAGTCTAGTAATAAAAAAAAACATTCCTTATCTCTTAATTATTTCACGGGTTGAGTGCTAAGTTGTTTTTACGACCCAAACATAGGCCACCCAATTATTGCTTAATAGAAAGAAAAGAATGAATACACACGCTTATATTATAAAAGTCTGCGCAAATCGTTCTTTTCTTTTCTCAAGCAATAGTTTAGGCAGCCAAAATGTTCGAGGGCGTGCTTTGAGAACCAGTGGAGAAATGTCCGAGAACAGCCTTAGTAACGATCACAAAATGATGCTCTCACAATACAATGATATGTCAGATGCAAGGATAAATGTGTGATTTAAAGACAAGTATTTATTTTTGTAAATGAAAACAAAAACATTTTCAATAAAACTAGTTTTATGCCAATTTTTTGTATCTTTTGTGTGCGATCTTTTATACTATTTCTTGAATGCAACCGAGGTATCAAGAATATCAGTATGCTGGCTCGTGAAGAATAGGGTCCACAAAAATAAATCAATATCAACCCACTCCCCCTGCATACAATGTACGCTGCAAGGAACTAGAAGCATCAAGTGTCGATCAACCATACACCAGGCGGCGATTCCCAGGGGTCACTGTTTCCCTTCCTACAGTAAACATATCCACCTGAAAGATTCGGAAAGGGATTTCTATTCACGACATAAAGTCCCTTATAGCTTAATTTAGCTGTAGCCAAATACAATTTCTTCGATAAAATATTTGTATTATATCTAAACTGTATTGTTATATCCATGTCCATGTACTATTCATTCGCCTGATTATAGTTTTGCACTGAACAGAACCCAAAGAATTTGATTGTTCATGAAGTTTTGTTCCATATTCTCAGCAAGAATCTTTACTTTTCTTATACGGTTTATCATTCATCCTCTTCAATGGTTAACAGATTCACTATATTTACATTCAATAATTATTTGATAATCAATATTGAAGGCTTGGTGAAAGCCGTCACATTACATCGAACATCGGTATTCGGCCGCAAACCAGCACTCAGAACCCATCCCCACCCCCATCAAATAATACTGGATCCGCTGAAGAATGGTTATGCAAAGCCTGAATCGTTTGCTAATTCGGGAGCTGARCTCTGATTGGCTCGCTGCTCCCTAAGGATTTTGGTGACGTCATATATTAGCATAGAACTTCACCGAATAGACTACCCCCATTAGATATTAGATACCTATAAGTGTCTTCATAGTACGATGGTCTAAGAGGGTAGCTAAAGRTATGCTCTAGTRGGCGGCTACCCCCTCACTCCCTGGCCTTTTGGTTAAGACTAAGTTTTATGTTCACTCGGGATAGCGTGGAAGAGCCGAAATCTCTAACCGTAACGTAAGCCGATTCGCCGCCTCAGCTTCATAGAATGTCTCGGGGGAATCGTCCCATCTTTTTAGTTTTTTATTTTCACTTTTTTCTTATGTATTCCGGGGGGGTACATCTTCTCCTGAAATGAAAATTCTGAGTTCGAGCCCTCCTTCTGGAATTTCACTTTTTTTGCTTGTTTCTTTTTTGTTTGTTTCTTGTTTTCTTTTCTTGTTTTCTTGTTTTTCTTCTTCTTCTTTTTCTTTGCCGTTGTTACTTCGTTTGTTTTTCTCTAGAGCTTTAAAAACATTCCAAGACTCGCAAGGAACGCCTGGTACAAGTGGATGGTTACGGTTCTGTCACTGAAAACGAGGACATAGTGACGAGCGGCCCCATAAGGCCTTTCGTCACAAAAAGCAGGTGAAACAATTTTCGGACGTTAATCCTTCTTGAGGCTATAAATAAGTTAATAAAAAAAAGATCTGGTCAAAAAAAGCAACTGCAGTGATAGGCTGGTACACAAAAGGGAGCTTTCCTGAATATTMTAAGTAATCAATCTCAAATATTATTGCATGTGGGATACCTGTGTCAGCATCAAGAATCAAGACGAGGCGCCTTCCATTTTGTGCCGTCTGACAGCTCCGTCTGACTGTACTGAGGCAAAATTCGTATAAGTCGCCTACTTGTTTGTTGCGAACAGTGGAATAGCTTCATACACAAACTGTACTAGTATTTCAAGTATTTGGGCAATTTTGCGACATATTGGTGCACTGATGTGCACTCTGGACGTGTCTATGGGCTCCCTGTGGTAGCAAGCCTTACGCAACCCTAGAAAAAATTTCTTTGACCTTCTTTTGTTGGTTTCAGCTTGTTTGCGCCGATGAAATTATTTTATCGAAGTGATCATCAAACATGGCAAACGCCATAACTTCATTTATACGTGGTATTCTATACCCRAAAGGATCGACTCCTCTAAAATGGAAAGAAATCATGATATTGTTCGTCTCTTTGGTGAGTGGATACCTAAGCTTTAAGTTAAACGAAATCTCTTATCAAGAGTTCTAAAGCTTAACTTTAAGTTTATATTTGCTCGACTTCAAACTTAACTCAGTGTTAACAGTTTAGTTRTATAGTATTTTTTGGACTATCGAATATTTTAAGCAAATCTTAATATTTGTAAAATAACATAAGCTAATAAGGTTAAGATCGCCATTTTTGTTTTAAAATTTTACGATTACTCTGCTCTCCCTAGAACCGAAACTATAACTGAATCACTCTTGCTTTACAATTACATGACCATGAATCCCGGGATGAATCCCCGTTGAGAATAAAAAACAAAATTATGCTTCGTCTACATAAGCTTATTGGAGTTGGGTAAGCTAATGAGCAAGTGTCTAATGAGGCTTACTGTTTTGGTCTCGTTCATCCAACGTGCCAGGCACAATGGCGGCTATCACAACAAACGTGTATATCAAGAAATGAAGTYTAATTAAGCCTGTGCTACATCTGGTAATTATCTTCGATACATACATGCATTCCGTCCTGATATTTTTTGTTTCCGGGATTGCTACGCAGGCTACTTTTGTGGTCAAGTTCAGTTGTAAACGCTCTACGAGCGTGAAGTCGGTCTAGCTATCATAATCAATAAATAATCATTGCAGATATTGCATGTAGCATGAGTAGTAGATATACTCCAAAGGGCTCATACCTGTACAAGAGAGTATAGTGAAGAGACCATGATAGATTGACAGAGAATTTTGTAAGTGGGTTTACAGACTGACCAGTCAGACTAAAAATCATGTTTTATTATTCAGCAATGTGGTTCTTGTATGAAAAATTGAGCCTCTGCAACAAGGGTTTATTTTATTTATTTTATATTAAATCATTATTATACGTGTTTTCATACAAGTTATTTTATTAGTCGTCTATGCACAACATTTAATGTGTATAGTCTCTAACTGGTGTCTAAAACAAAGTTCTTTTTCTGATTGAGTGATTATTTTTAAATTATTATTTTCATTTGSCATCACTACAAGGTGAGTTTGCATTAGCTATGTCATACATGGATTTGTGTTAATCCATGCCCTTGCACTCCATGATTTTTACACAGTCATACAAAATCCAGGTCTATTCACGACTTTCAAAAATGGCGGTAGTTCAAGACCACAAATATCAAGGGACTAGTGACGAATCGCAAAAACGAGACCTCAAAGGCCTAACATCTAAAAATCAYTACGAACTTATCRCATGTATGTAGTGTTCAAAAGTTTGAAAGATGTATCGGTATGTTTATTAATATTTTATAACAAAGTACTCTTACAAGACACCATTGAGGTTTACTATGCGGAGGCTGGCCTTTGAGTGCTTCGTCCCCGGTGCTCTGGTCAGTGWTCSTGACATATCATTTTTCATTCCCGTACCCAGACCCTACTCTGTCGGCCTCTAGCGGCCTGTCGTAGTCTCTGGGACACCCTGTAATTTCAAGGCACATGATTGGCTAATTCAAAACAAAAATGATGAAAAATGACTTGAATCMAGGTAAAAATAGATCTCAAGTAAATKATATTTCTCGCTGAAGCACCCATCGGCCAGGATTAACCACAGCCGTCAACTCACTTGACCTCACGGACTTATTTCACCTGTTTTTTAAGCAAGATCAAAGCTCAAAAATTGCCATGTAATTCTCAATGATTTTATGAAGACAGGAGTTGACAAAGAAAGGATATTTGTAGTAGAAGAAAATTCAAAATTTCCAGAACACTTGTAACRGTTGTTTTGGTGGCACCAGGAAACCTAGATTATTTATAATCMTGATCCTGTCTTTACCAGCGATTACCCGGAAAAACCATTCTGAGAGAGTCTGGATTAGCCTCMTCCGCAAGAATCAYGGGCCTCCTGTCTTTTTGAGGWTTCAAAAGAGAGAGAATGGGGTCACTAGTCCCTAACGGCCAAAATGACTGTTACAAAGGAAGCCCAAAGGAGGAAAAAAGAGTTGCCTGTGGAGGAGGCTAAGTCTGGATAGAGAAGTCTAGCATAAACCGGAAGCAAGAAATCTTGCTTCCGGTTTATAGAGTGTCCCAGAGCCTACGACAGGCCGCGAGAGTAGGGTCTGGGTACAAGAATGACCATTTTTGAAAGTCATGAATTGTGTTATAAAAATAGTGTTAAATGGTTAACTAATGATAAGTTTTTTGATATACCAGCTTTCYACAGCAATGACTATCACCATGCTGTTCCCCTTTCTACCAGCTATGATCAAGGTAAATTTGATATACATTTAGTTGCAAAGTCATGGAGATATCATAGTACTGAACTTATCATTTGATTATGTTTACTTTTACTTCTGTTTACAGTACTTTGGGAAAACCGAGGAAGAAACTGGTAAACTTTTTTTTAGTTATTTTTCAAATGTTTAAAGTTATAGATGTACTAAAGTTATGAAAATCAAATGACCCTTGCATAATGAATTTCTTATAATGTCAGATAAGTAGTAAATAATAGACCAAAATCCAAAATAGCAGGCTAACCGTTGATTTAAATGGAAATCAATTTTGCTCCAACCTAAGYACAAGAGGCATAGTCRATCAACAACATTTATTATCATTTCAATTGGTCTGCCATTGTTTGATTTGAGATATAAGTAAGACTAATTAGTGTTTATTGATTTTGTTCAGGTTATTTTGCTGGTCTAGTTGCATCATCAATGTTTCTGGGTAGATTTCTCTCAAGGTACAATCAAAATGACAAATCAGAATTGCTTTATTTTGCACTATTTATTATTGTTTTATTTTATTTGTTTTTGTTTTGTTTATTGTTTTCTGTTTTCACTGGTATAGAAACAAACACCTTCACTATACCCCCACGTGCACATGCAAAGTTTTTCTGATCTTCTTTGCCTAGCAACCAAMATTTTCATGCAAGGAGAAGGCTCTCGGACTGGATATTATATTTCGCTTGCAACACCATTACTGAGTTTTTTCCTTTTGTGTTACATTTTTATTATAGCTACTTCTGGGGAATATTGGCAGACAAAGTTGGCCGYAAACCAGTAATTATCACCTCGCTGATCTTGCTTGGCATGAGTACTCTATTATTTGGATTAAGCTCCTCTGTTGCTATGGCAATGGCAACACGCTTTCTTGTTGGACTTGGAAGTGGTATTTGCTAATTTTCTACAACTTTCCATATAACGCTAGACTTTTAARAGTTAGAATTAATCTGGTATATCATCAAGATCTTTTGATGAGCGAGCTAACTTTTCATTTTTGCTACGTGCAGGTATTATTGGTACTGCAAAAGCCATGATATCAGAAATATGTGATGCCTCAAACCAGGTGAGTGTTTGCAAATGATAGTCACTTTAGAACCAACAATTGGTCCAGTGCATCTTCACATGTACTAGCTGTTCACTTTCCTAGATGTAAACTTCCTGGACCTTCCTGGCTATAGTTCTGCAAATCATGTGCGAAAAGAATAAGTTTGGCCTCTGCATGCATCTGTTTTCTTTTATAACTTTTTTACGACCTTTTAACACTTATTTCTTGTTTTAGTCACTAGGAATGTCTACAATTACAATTTCTTTTACAACAGGACTTATTATTGGCCCTGGATTAGGAGGTATTCAGTGAAGTATCTTGCTAGATACAAAATACTTTACATATTTGTACATATTTCAAGAAACGAAGAATGGCATTATTGTCAAACGGCGACACAACAATGCATGGGCTTTGCTAATTAATGAGAAATAATAATTATTGTAGTGATTATTGGCTCCATTTAGTCTATATTTTGAATAAGTAAGGTTCAACAGCGCAACCATAAGTCACTTTCGGTAATGCAATCGTCATTCGGCAATCACCGTTCGCCGTTGTCCCAATAGAGCACTGAGGAAGCAATCAAGTGTTTCAATCAGTGCTGTATTTCCGTGCGCCGTTGAAGGAACAACGGATTACAGGGTGAAGGTTGTGTGTGCGTTTGCTGCGTGTTCAGATATTCACCATAATTTAAGTGGTGATGAACAGAAGTTCATAACTACATGTATTACCAAAAATAAATGAAACATTTCATTCTATATTTTGTACTTCTTAGGTTTTTTATCAGAGACTGGAATTAAGTACCCGAAAACGTTTCCCAAAGGTAAGGTTGCGCAGGCAAAGATTATTATTTGCACATGGGCATTTCCAGGGATGTCTTTTGGTGCACCAGACGCCCCTTAATTTCACAAATGCGTTATGTTACACTTGCTATGATGACAAGTTGTAATTAGAATGGATGGAAAATGAAACTTCTGACAGCATAAAAAAATCGAAAAAGAATCGAAAAACCTACTGACGTTTCCCAACACTAAGGTCCTATAAAAAATTCAATGTTGGCTCCTCTTAGTGTACAATKTTTTTCTGATTTTAGTTGGAATACCCGAGCACGTAACATAACATGACGCGTATGATCATCCTTTCATTCATGTTTTAACAATAATTCAATTATTTCTAGRCTCGTTCTTTGATCGAAATCCATTCTTTCTGCCGTGTGTGGTGAATAGCGTCCTTCTAATGTTTTCGGCTGTAATTGCTTACAAGTGGTTACCTGAAACCTTAGTGRAAAGGTATGTTTTTGTGTATGTACTTACTGTACTTTGAGCCTGACAATGAGGAATTCTTAGTCGAAAGGTATCGTGGGTGATGATATTCAATCATTTGTTGAAACTCACGGGAAAACCAAAAAAATCGTCAAGATCTGCATTCTCCAGTCTCCTGTAACCTCTTTTGAAAGGACTTGAAAGCAGTTTACATACCGCAGATTGATAAAAGGCGGAGCCTTTTAAGCTTATATTTTACACGAGTGGCGCCCACATTAACGCCGCACCATCAATGAAAACATGACAATGAAGTAATGAAAATACCAAATAATAGACAGAGATAATTTTATATTTGCCCGTAGAATAAAGGTGTTGAATTAAGGACTTACAGTTAGTTACCTTGTCACGGTGTACGCTGTTATATTTTCATTGAATATTGTAAATTATACAGCATAACCAGTCTTCCTTTAGCTCGCCGATTGAACATTGAACAGGTTGCCGAGTGCGCAGAAGAAAAGTATAACGGCGTATACCGTGAAAAAGTAACTGAAGTTATTAATTTCAATACCTTTATTCGATGGACAAATATAAAATAATCTCTGTCAAATSTATTATTTGGCGTATTTTGCAATGTTTTCATAGGTGGTCCGTGAATGTAGTCTATGGAGGGGTCTACTAACCGGGGGTCAGTGTTTTCATATTCCCCGGTATCTTTTGTTACTTCGACTTTTTTTTCAATTACAGTAAGAAGAGTAACAAAGAAAGCAAGTGCTCTTGCTTTAGAATATTTCGATTATCGAAGAAGACCGAAGCCTCGAAAACTTCTGGCATCAGCAGTCAAAGTGAAAATAACCACATCCCGAGCAATCCTGAAACTTTAGAATTAAAGAAAGTTCAAAACTCAACGACTAACAAGAAGGAAAGTCTAAGTGATAATAACGATGAACATTCTGGTTTAATATTAAATGAAAGTACCACAGAATACAATGCCTGCAAGCCTGAACTGGAAAAAAATCAAGCGGCCTTTAATGATGACAGTCTTCTTGATAAAGTACCATCTTTGTCAAAGATACCAACGCACTCTTCGTCCGAGGAATGCTCCAGTAGTGTTAACGGCCACAAAACAAACCTACATCACGAAGAGCAAGATGAACAAAAGCTAAAACTAAGCGAATGTCAGCCTATAACATCTATATGTGATGGAAGCGATGATATTGAAAGCAAAGGTGATTTGAAAAAKACTGAAGAATCAGGGTCAACATTGCATGGAAAAGATGATATGGAAATTAAAAGTGATTTTAAATCGATAGAAGAAACAAAAATACTGCACACTGAAAATAAAGTAAACATCAATTCAAAAGAATGTGTTGAGCACGTAAGCACAACAGAGTTTAGTGGTGAAGACATGGGAACGTTGCATGAAGGTGATGCACAATCACATACAGAGAAAAACCAAAGCATAAACTCTGCTCGTGAATTAGTTGAAGTCAATAGACTAGATGAGAGAAAGGATGAGAATAGAACAAGTGGAGAACTAAATATTGACAAGRAGAACTTGCCAAAGGTTTCTTTTGAATGTAAAAATGCAGACAACTCATCACGCCGTTGTACAAGAACCACTGACAGCAAAATTGACACTGGCAAAGAAAGTAATAAATGTTGCGGTTTTAAATTCAAGAAAAATAGCAATCTCTGGAGAATTTTGAGGTAAGTTAYACCTTTCATGATGAACAATTTGCCTTAAGAAAAATATTATTCTCCGCGGCCGAAGTACTTAATTTGAGTGTTTTTTAACTTGCGCGAGATTGTATTCTTGCTTGATTGAGTATTTTTTTTGTATTTGTATGCTGTATGGTGTTAACTTTATTTTAYACCTTTTAAAAGTAACCGCAATGCAGCTCTTGTCTTGGCGATTTATGTTACGTTTGGTTTCGCTCAAATGGGAATTGACGAGTTGATCTACGTTTGGGCGGCTGCTGATCCTCGCCTTGGTAAGTCTTGTCAGCATTGTTTACTGTTTTGAAAATCAAGTGATAACAGAAAGCTGAGCAAAAGAAGATTTTTAGAGAAAGTAACGGGTATATAAACAATGAGGTTGTTTCAACTTWAGCTTGAACAAGAAATACGTTCCTGTACATTCAATTCAAACTATCGAAAAAGTCAATTTTACTGCGTCTTGGTTGACGAAATGATGGGATAAAGTTTGTTGTTTTCTTCCATTGTTAGGCGGCTTAGGGTTTAGCACCGATGATATGGGAACTTTTCTACTAGTAATTGGTATAGTGATAACTTTCTTTCAACCAACTGTCTTACCAAAGGTAAAATATGACAATGTCTATTATAACAATGTCTATTAGCATGTGAATACGAGTCACAGTCATCGTCATCTTTTTGCTGTACCAGTAAAACCTTTCCCAACTTAATGTTCCTGTTTTTGTAGATCGAAAGAAAACTTGGATGTTTAATGGTAAGTGGCTTAATAATGTAGGGGTTTCTGTGTCGATAGGTCCATTTTTATCATTTCAAGTTTAGAGTTCCAGCGCCATCTTAGTCCAGAACTGGACCAACTTTTCTCAATTACAATATGTCATTATATATAAAAGTTAAAAATCTATTAACGTTGATTCAAATATTTCAAGGATAAAATTAATGAAGGTCCAGTTCTACTAGCACCATCTCTAAGCTTGAAACTGAYGTGACACTCTTTTTAAGAACATGGGCGCGGCCTAGTAATGGGCTCTGATTCTTCTTAATAAATATCAACTTGTTCTGATTCCTAAGTGCTTACTCTAACCATGTTTTGTTTGTTTGACAGAATTTACAGATGAGTTTAATCATTAGCSTGTTCTTCTCTGTAACTTTACCGTCGATACGTATTGCTATTAATAGGTAACTATTGAAAAAACATTTCTTATAAGTATTTCTTTAAAGGACCATCACTAACCGACATCCCTTGCGAGCTTTTTTTATGTTTTGATAATAAAGATACATCGTAGAGTAGAGTGATCGCACTTTTAAAAACCGTGCAACTGTACAAAATCTAAGTAGTAGTAATTTGTAATGAAAGTGGACCTGAAGCAAGACGGTATTAAATGCTTCATTTGTATCAATTCAATTTAATTTGTGTACCACATGCACGATTTACTAAATACAGCTAAATAGAGCTATTCAGCTTGTACAGTTACACGGGTTAGAGTGATCGCACTTAATCCGTGAAATTTTTAACTCGAGCCTGCAGCCAGTGATGTTTACTTAACCAAGCTAGTATTCTTGTTTTATTGCTTTTATTTTTCAAACTAGACCCTGACAGGGTGTACTCGGCCTAGGGCCTGGTCACGAGTAATAAAAAATTTGTTTCATAAGACTCATAAGCACTTTAAACTATTAAAATAGCAGCAATGCATTGCGGTCTTGGAATGCACTATGCTGTATTAAGGTTTTCAGTATTTGACGTTTTCTGAAATTGWTATATGTCATACACCGTATTCCAAAATGCCACCCTTTGTTCAATTAGCCCTTGTTTTCTCACTCTCATAAARTTATTCTTTTGTCTTTGAGCTTGAGTTACTTTAAAAGAAAAGAACAATTTCATGAAAACGAGACATCAAGGGCTAGTCAGCCATTTTGGAATAAGGTGTATTATTTTATGAAAATACCAAGCAGTTTGTTTAAYGATACTTCTACTTCATTGTTTTAGGCCTGACATCCTGTGGACTTTGCTTTTGGTGTGTTTGACAATGAAGCGTATGGCGATGTGTGGAGCATATCTATCGATTTTCTTGTTACTTAACAACTCTGTCCAGMGAGATTTACTCTGTAGTATTAATGGTCTTGGTCTCATGTTGTCAAGTTTATCAAAGTAGGTTTATGTTTTGTTTGCTCCTAARCAGTTTTAACTGTTTAAAATGCRAGTTTAATCGACCAAAATGAATAAAAATTCAGGAAAATTCAGTGCAAAAGCGTGAAAATGACCTAACCAAATGCTGTTCAAACTTAGCACKATKCAACTGTTCCACRYTTTTAYTGTTTTCGCTCTATCAATAAACAAAGCATTTCATTTTTATTTGGACGCMTTGGCAAGTGTGCATGTAACGTAAAATGGGGGACAAAACAAAAGAACGCGTTCTGTTCTTGGAACTAGAGTCCATTGTTTCCTAGGTGGAATTGCATTCAAATGAACTGCACTGGAAATGATTTGCCATTTTTAATTGGCCTGAATCTTGTATTTGCTGGGTACTTTGCTAGAATTTAACAATAATAATAATAATAATAATAATAATGTTTAATATTTATATTGCGCTATTTTACATACATATATGATCAAATGCGCATTACATATCTAATTACAAATAATAAAATTATAAACTATCTACAAATAAAACAATAGTTTTCGTTCACGGTTCCCTGTGCCATCTTGAAAGGTAGCCGTACCTTTGCATCGCAAGACAACTGTTAAGCGTGAAATGATAGATATCTGTGGATAATTGTTTGTAGGTGTGAAAGAAGATTTCTATCATTGCACGCTTATAGTCATCTCACGTCCATGTAAAGCCACGGCTGACTTTCAAGATCGCAGGAAACCGTGAAGGAGAACACTGTGAGRTGGTCAAATGTTGATAGTCCCAAGGCCGTACTCGGAGCAGGGAATGGGCCTGAGTCATTAGCATTTCTGTATTTGACTCCTCGAAGACCAGACTGACTGATATTGTTTYYTTTTTTCAGGACTTTTGGTCCAACACTTGGCGGGAGTCTTCTTTCGTGGTCGTTATCTTCGGGAAAAACACTTGGCTTCCCTTTCAATGTCAATTTGGCGTTCATATTCTTTGGTTTCGTTTTAATTATGACTGTAGCTATWAGTTGTTTTGTCARTSAAAGCCTAAATGAACCACTTGATGAAAAGGAAGTACTTTTAAGATCGAGTAAGTCAGTAGAAAACTTGCTGGAATCAAAAGCTTAGTATTGAAAAGAAATTACTAAAAAAAAGCTTAGGATTGATCCTCTTTCACTATGACGTCACATCAAATCAGTCTGTTGTTTGTAACGCTAAGGAGTATAGTCTTCAGAAAGGACAAAATGGCGGTATGACAAAAATATACACAATAAAATGGCTTTTAATGTTTACAAAAAGAGTCGAATGACTTCAAGTCACTGTAGATTATATTGTAAGCCGGTCCATCAAAACTAGAAAATCTGAAGGTGAAMTTTCAAAGGAAAAGGAGATTTAGTACAAATTTCTATTGTCTTATCTTCCCTTCTTATCTTTCCCTTTTGTCAATATCTTCCCTTTGGAAAAGTGATGTGACGTCGTAGTGAAAATGAGCRATAATTKGTCAATACTTTAAACTTGCAGGAGCGTTGTTATAAATCGGTCATACTTGGATCTTGAAATCCAACATTATAGCATTAACTAAAGTGTTAATGTAGGGTTAGATTGGGGARATTTTTGTAGAAATACGGTAAAAAGAAATTGGTCATGCAAAGCTTTGATCTTGAAATCCAATATTAGAGCATTAACTGATTGTTTGCCACGAAGACAATTAATGACAGGTGTCAATCATTGCTACCTTTCAAGATGGCACTGGGAACAGTAAAASAGAAAATTAAATCTGTATATTTATATCGCTATTAAGTTATTGTTTATTTGAATTTTATACGTGACATAAATTTACGATATCTTTATATAAATTTGTAAAAATATGCTAATCGTTTTTGCAAAGGAAGATATTTTTACATAAGGTTGGCTTGGATTTTGAAAAAATAATATAAATTGTTTTTAGAAGTAGATAGAAGTGTTTTAAAATAATCTCACGAAGAAAAAAAAAGCAAATACTAATCTTATTGAATTTATCTTTTATAGAAGTAATTAATAAAAATTTGGTTTATGGCAATAAGCWGGAGTGAAATTATAACAATCTATAAACTAATCACATGTATATGATATTAATAAATGGATTGCACGAAAGAAATTCGGGTTTCATGACGGGAATCGAAACCATGACCTCTTCTTATGAAGCAAACTATTGACTACACTTCTCGGCAAAATGTCAAACCCCCCGCCTCCCCTGTTTCAAAGTTGGGATTCTCACAAACAAGCACAGGCTGACAAGATGAGAATGAACTTTGAAACAGGGGCGGGGAATAATATTTTTGTCGAGAGCTGTATGTTGGTGAGCGGTTATTTGGTGAACCCATGATGGGTTCTAACATGATGAAATGATGCATTTTTTATTTTTTTAATCAATTTTTTATTTTTTTAATCCCTATTGTTACGTTAAGACACGTTTCCTTCCTTAGATTGCGCAATAACATCGTGGATACTCCGTCCAATAGGATGGGAGTAACCACAAAAATCTTAGAGCGGATTTCGTATGAGTGGGAAACGGACAGTACTGTACTGTGTCCGCAATCGTACTGTAACCAAATTCTAGTGCCCCATTGTTTCACCAAAATTCTGCAGGCCARGTCCGGCAACTGTGCGGTAACCGTGCGGTAACGGTGTCCCACTCATACGAAATCCGCTCTATAGACAGATGGACAGACAGTTTTATGAGCTCTTTATGCTAATAAAAAATATGTCCTGGCCTTATCTGGGGTCAGGTCGCAGCGCCAAAGAACATTGCTGGTTGGCTCAACACAGACTCTAAAGAACGAGGCATAAACTATAGACCCTCTATATCTTTTCCCTCCTCYTCTTCCCCTCGTTCGCAGGATTAATACTGCAAAGAGCTAAATCCAAATATGCTCAAATCATAGTTGTTTTGAATGATTTTATTTAAACCGAAACCTGCCATAACAGTTACGAGTATGTGTAGCATCCTACCTCTCTGGAGTTCAYCGTTTCTAACCTTACATGACAGARTGACTCTCAAGGGAACCCGCGAGGAACGCCTGGCTGCCAGTGTTGCGTATTTTAAAAGAAAGCCGAGGTCAAAGCCTAGCCTGTAYGCGATGATGTACATGTTTAGAAGATAAAAGCAAAACARGATTCCAGTTATTGCACGGTTGATCCAGAATACGTTTGTGTTGCATTTGCATATATTACGTATATTAATTTAAAAGTCCCTCGTGATAAAGTCCAGCGWGCATTCAAGAACCATGCGCGATTCACATCATGACAAACATCTGTTTTTGATTGTGAACCGATCAGAAAACACCTTTCAACAAGAGATCACTTGTGAAACAAAAGAAATTAACAAAGGTTATTGGATGCATGCTGGGCTTTAACTGTGAATTTTACTTAAAATTGATTGCMGAGTGTAGTGGCCGAGAGCAGTGGTCGAGTGTAGTGGCCGAGTGTAGTGGCCGAGTGTAGTGGATCTTGATTGGTTCTGAACATGACGATGAATTCATGATATCTCATAAATATGAAGTCTGTGTACATTATCTCATGGCATTACCAGTATAAGCGTACTGTGGAATTATGGGTAACTCACTGGAGATCACGTGATACGAATAACAYGTAAACGTAGTTCTAGTTGGACAATAAATTTCTGGAAGGCGAGGATCGGGCGCTCTCGACCGCGAAAAGTCCGATCCAAATGTGTATAAAGCCTCTAGTTTAACATCGGTGGGTGGAAGATAGCAGTTTCTGCACTGTTCAGCATAGTCATTTGAATCAAACACRCCCTCGGCGTAAGGGTAGAATAAATGTTCTTGTTTGGAATTTTCGTTCTTGTCAACCTGACTCATGAGTCCTGTTTTTCTATGTTCGTCGATGAATGTCGCTAGATTTCTGTCGTATAACGCCGTTGAATACGTTGGTCTTGGTATTAAATKTCTTTTACGCGATTTGGTTTTGTCTTGAATGCCATTGTCATTGCTGTTTGTCGTTACAGAAGGATAACGTTGTATACTCAAGTTGTTAAGATACTGCTGGTGTTGTCGTTGTTGTTGTTGTTGTTGTTGTTCTTGCTGCTTCTGTATTAGATGCTGCTGTTGTTGTTGTTGGATTTGTTTCTGTTGTTGTTGTTGTTGTTGTTGGATTTGTTTCTGTTGTTGCTGTAGCTGCTGTTGCGTCTGTATTAGCAGTTTTTGTTGCTGTAGACTTTGTTGATGTTGCTGTTGTATTAATTGCTGCTTCTGTATAAGTTGCTGCTTTTGTTGCTGTTGTTGTAGGCTCTGCTTCTGTTGTTGCTCTGGAGCTCGTTGTTGTTGTAGCTGTAGCTGCTGCGTTGTAAATACTTGCTGCTGCTGCTGTTGTTGTTGTTGTTTTTGCTGTTGTTGTTGGATTTGCTGCCGATAAAGTAATGGTTGTTCATATCGTTGTTGTTGATTATTTAGTAGTCGCTGTTGTAGCTGTGGCATTGGCTGCTGACGTTGTTGATGCTGCTGTTGACCGTATTGCTGTTGTGTTAAGTATTGTGTCTGTATTTGTGGCAGCTGCTGTTGTAGTTGCCCACGTTGCTGTTGCAGTTGCAGTACACGTTGATCCTGTAGCCGTTGTTGCTCTTGCTGCGGCTGTAATTGCTGTTGACTCTGCTGTGTGAGACACTGCTCCTCAAGAAGTGGATGTTGCAGACGTTGTCCAAGTTGCTGTTGTTGTTGCTGTCCAAGTTGGCATTGTTGTCGTTGCTGCTGCTGTTGCAGCTGCTGTTGCTGCAGCAAAGTGTTAAGACTGTATGTTTCCAGTATAACAGGGAACTGTTCTCCATTAATCGACTCGCAAGCCTCTACATCACTACTAGCACCCATGCTACACGGAATACTTGTTGCTGGAGTTGTGCCACTTGTCCTTCGTTCATGTACTCGCAGATTTGAAGGATAATTGTTACTCTGTCCCAAAGCAATCGGTAAAAAATAATTGGTGACCTTTGGATTGGACTGATGCGAGCCGCTTTCTGAAGAATGAGTCTTGCTCTCGATCGACTTTTTACATTCCACGCTTTTGATGGCGTTTTGAATGTCACTGTCTGTTAATTGAACGGGTTTCTGTTTGACGACTGACTTGGCATGCAAACCTTCCTTAGATATRAACCTTGGCTGAATGTCAACATTTTGCTGTGAGTGACCTTTTTCGTTCGTATAGCCACTMGTGTTGTCATGACTACCTTTTGAATGACACGTTGAATCCTTTTGTACTAAGTTGCTGCTKGCATTATCAGTGAGGTCCTTTTCATAATCGAACGTCTCGTTACATTCAAGCGTAAGAATCCCATTATCTTCCGTTCCTTTGCTTACGACTGGTTCAAAATCACGTGACTTTGAAATAYTATTGGATGTAATATGTAGCTGGTTGTCTTTTAATGTCACATTTGCRGTGTCAGCAACAGTGCACATCACTGACTTGCTAACAGATTGGTTTTCCATTRCCCAATTTGATTGTTCAYYGGATTTTATTTTCTTACWTGTGGTATTTGCATGGTCTTCAACACTAGGACGTTTTTCACCAACGAAGAAATCTTCCGAAGTCGAATCGTCAACCGGTGATTCTAAGAAAACGTTTTTAAAGACATCCATAGGATGAGAGTTMACGAACTCCAATAGTTTAGATATCTGCGTGTCCTTTCTTAAGTGATCAGGAATGTCGTCACTATCATTTCCTTGACTCTCATTATCAAAATAATTAACCCTAACAGGTCTGTCTGTAGATTCGTTTTGATTTTGGTTGTCCTTTGACGGACCATGAASTGGTATGTCACTTGGTCTTTGTTCTTGTCTTCGGTTGTCACGCGTCACGTCTTCAACGTCCKCAGTTTTCCCAGCATCAGGCTTTGCTATGCTTCTGACGTTCGTCACTAAACAAATCGAGCTATCAGTCGGCTCTCTATTGACTTTAATAGTATTTTGTCCTGCTTGAAGTGAKTGTTCTGCAAACTCTAAAGCTATAAAGCCTGCCGGTATGTCCTTGGACACGAGTACGTTTTGTGATTCACTCTTTTCACCATTTGTTGTTGCAGTGGAATCTTGTGACCCCGTAGCTCTGCAACCAAATTCCGTTGCTAAAACACTGTATGTTGTTTCTGCACAAGTACTTCTTGTCAATGAGCTGCTACTTTCAGTTGCTAAGCAACCATTTCCCATGTCCAAGGTAGTCCATAATTTCCCTGTAGAATCAGTTGTTGATRCATCTAAGCCACTATCTACAGTTGCTAAGCAGTCATTTGTCGTTACTAGGGCACTACGTGTTGTTTCAACAACATCACACTTCGTATTTACGCTTCCATCTACAGTTACCAAGCAACCATTTGTCGTTGCCAAGGCATCACCTTTTGTTTCCATAGAATCACTTCTCGTAACCAAGTCACCATTTACTGTTGCTAAGCAGCCGTTGGCCAGGTTAATGTTATAGTGTATAGTTGGTGAGGTTGGAGTAGGGGTTTCTGGTTGAGASGTTGATGGAGAAGGCGGTACATCAGTCACTATGATTGATGATGGATTGACGTGAAGTACTTGGATATTGTCACCCGAGTCTTACAAAYCAAAAACAACAAAAATTATAAGTTATTATTTTTTCAGTTCGATATCGCTTTTGCGCGCGATCTGCCCGTTCAGCGGTATTTTGCATGTAATTGTGTGGGAAAAGAACAAAAGATAGCGAAAAAAAAAACATTATTAAAACAGATTATTATACTGTACGGAGGGAATTATAAATACACAATGTCTAATCTGTAGCTATTTTTTCTATAATTATATTATTGTGGATTAGCGCCGATATTTCGGCTTAAAAAACGCTGCAACCCTGAATCAACTGTGCTTGACTTCCTTCCTTGGTACTACCCTTCGCTTTTTACGCTCATGCTCAGTATACATACATCGTATACAAAGAAAACCAGACCCACCTTCGCCAGTGGATACCGAGTACATGAGTACATCAGAACCTGTATCAATGTTCTCAATGTCACTAGAGGTGTCGTCAGGCGAAACTTCTTCATCTTGACTGACTTCAGAAGAAACATCCTCTTGGAAATCACAATATTGATTGAATTGAGGACTGTCAGCTTGTTTCATTTTATTTCGACTGAAATATAATTATTACCACAGTGTTAGTTTAGAAATGTTTACAAGGCGAAATAACGTATTGAGGGAAAAGAGTGGCGGATCTATTGTAGAACATCACCAAAGGAAGGCATCTACCTCAAGAAAAWAATATTCAGTGGATAGATAGGATAGAATGGATAGATTTAAGGAAAATGAAATTTCTTTCTGATGAAAATTGCTTTCGATGYTTTTCAGAATGAGTCTTATTCAGATTTCCTTTTCTTTCCTTTATATCATAATTCCTATCTGAATTGAAYCCTAAAATATTGGGAATACTGCATTTTACAGTTCCTTGAGCTATCGTGAAAGGTAACTTTCGGTATTTTTCAAAATGGCGCTTGGAATTATAAAATGGAGTATTCRGATATTTAGGTGGCTATACACTAGATAAATGCCGATACAGYTTATGCACATTCTCGACTTTGGAGATCGTATGACATTATGGCATAACCGTAGATTGAAATCCGCTATAAAGGCCCGTTTACACGTGCGACTTTTGCAGAGCGATCGTCGCGTAACTATCGCCTGAGTTTCGAACATGGTTGAAAATTATTGGCTGCAACTATTGCAGGGCTGCTTACACGTACAATTTTATTTGCGCGATAGGTAAGTGGCGATTATCGCGCGACAATCGCACTGGAAAATCGCAAGTCATTGACTGTTTGACAAACAGTTAATCCCAAAAACAAGGATCACGTGACCCACAGTTTTGACTTGTGGCCGAGAAGGTTATGGCTAGAGTTGGGTTAGAGATGCTGACCTAGGGTAGGGTTAGGGTTAGGGCTAGGGTTTGGCTTAAAGTTTAACTTGGGGTTAGGGATAGGACTAGGGTTTTAGCCTAGGGCTAGTCACGTGACTAGCCTCCCTTAACAAGAAYTGAGACCAGAACTGAAATCYGTACTGACATATTGCAGTTGCCCAGTAGTTATCTTGATCACCACCCCCCATACCTTTTGACTTTGCGCGTTTTGCTATAAAGGCTCCAAACATAAGATATTGGGAGTAGCTCCTCTATATCTCTGTGCTTTTTGATGAGTTTTGATTCAAATGTTGTCAATTAGGACTACACTTATTAGATAAACTTTTTCAGATAAGTTTGGAATGAAATAATCAATACATTGCGATAAAGTATTTTTTGATTAACGTATACAAAATTAATAAATCCTTAAACCACATAAAACGCTCTCTCTCATTATAAACAGTGCATAAACAGTGCATACTGTACCCGTGAGTTACTTTATCTTGCAAATGGCTAAACCGCTCCTCGCGGAAACCAGTAGCAAAGGGATTATTATCGATCTTAAGCTTTGTGATCTGAAAGAAATAAAGAACTGATTTGACATCAACTCTCATCGTCTTTATCAGGAATTCAGGTGGGTACGCTGGTCTTCCACCTTTTAAAAGTCTTATACATATATGTGTATCGATAATGTTGGTTGATTCGCTGATATTGTTTGACTGAGTCTGACTGAATGATTGAATTCATCTCATTGGTTGGTTGGTTGTTTGATTGATGAATGACTTGCCGATCGACCGATATTGCTTGATAGTATGATTGATCGATCGATCGATTGATTGATTGATTGATTGATAAATTGATTGATTGATTGATTGTATGATTGATTGATTGATTGATTGATTGATTGATTGATTGATTGATTGATGGATGGATTGATGAATTGATTGATTGATTGATTGATCGATCGATCGATTGATTGACAGGTACAATAGAAGTTTGTTATCATACCTGTTTGTTCATATAGGCTGTTACAGCCATAAATCCAGTTTCTTTGAAAGTGAGAACAGCAGCGTTGGAAGTTTCGTGGTTGGCAAAATCTCTAAGCCTTATAACGGTGACTCGAGGAGCAAAACGACACATTGACTCAAGAAGAATCTACATAAATAGCGATAATATATCAATAACATCGATGCAGTAAAATATGCACGATGATAGACACAGGGAGACCTAAAATAATGACATTGACATTGATGCTATCTTGATATAGGGGAGGGGTACCATCTATGTATATATACATAAAAAAGGGTAATAGACCTCTGAAGCTATTACGTCATATACGTATACGCAATGCATTGTAGGATATGTTTATGACAAAACATGGCGGATTTCCTTTGTTTTCTTCACAAACCGATCTCACAATCCACTGCAAATCAAGTAGGTGACGTAAAAGCTTCAGAAATCTATTGACAGTCGGCCCTCCCCGTGGGTAACGCTTTTGCGCACTGAATTGAAATCATAATGACCAAGCTATCTCTCTCCGTACACGGTACAATCTCGAGCCCAGTCTTCACGACTTATGTCAGCAGTATGCATTGACTTCCGCTGAATGACAAAAGTGCGGACTCTGGGTACGAGATTGTACCTGGTATAAAACAGACTTCTTTTATACTTACTTGATTATATTTGATACGATCAAAAGTATTAGTCAACTTGACCTTGTTCAATTTGATTGGATCCTTTAACAAAGCTGAACCTCTAAACGGGCCATCAGGGTGTTTATAAATGCCTATAGCACCCGACCCTAGTGKGTTGCAAGACTCCACCCACTGCTGTAGGCGTTCCGAGTACTTGTACTTATAGCCGCTGACCGGTATCATATCGACAAGAAGCATATACATCTCAYTGGGGTCCAGTCCAGCGAAAGAAAGTTCGAGAAAAGGAAACATTCTCCTGTAACAAAGCAGAAACGTGTGTTTGCTTGGATGATGAATATAGTCAGCCAATCAAACCGCGACATGACTGTCYAATCGCGCTGTTCGTTACAAGCCGTTTCGATGGTTGACATGTTGCTRAAGGGAAACTTTTTGTTTGCTTGTTTTGTGTGTGTGTGTGTTTCGTTGTCAATGTTTGCTTTGTTGTTGTTTTTTAGTTCGTTTTTGCTTTGATTTGTTTTATTATTTATTAATTTTCGTTACACTTCACTTTTTGTCTTATTTTGTAGCCATTATTGTTGTAAATTTGCTTGCCTTCTGCTACCCTTCGAGACAAACTATAGGCCCCTTGCATGTGACGTCAAAGCAGCTTCATCTGGAGGGCGAAACAAAAGATTTTTATCCTCTTGGGAACTAGAATCTATTCATTTGTCCTCCAGTTGGAGCTGCATTCCCATGAACTGCAAGGGGTCTATATTTTCTGCGCGATGTTTTGTTGAAGAAATGTATTTACTAGGTAGCAAGTCTTTTCTCTTGTGAAAGTAAATTTCTGAAACACATAAGTTCATGTTCAATGTTTTACATTATAAATTGATGAAAAACAAAGTCAATAGAGTACGAAGAAAAAGAAACACGACGAATGTCAGTCGGTATAGTTACCTTATCAAATTGTATGTCGCGATGATTGGTGCTCGTTTCTCGAGTCCGTATCGCATACGAGATCGACTATTGCCACATACTATTAGGTTAYTGTCAAACGTCTGTTGTCAAGGCACCAAGGAAATTTTACCGCCAACTTTTTAATGGTTTTAAATGTCAAAAATATCTATTGTTTTTTTAAAACACTGTCAATTATTGGTCAAGAGATTTGGCAAAAGCACTTCAATCATGCTTTTTTTTMATTTTGACACGTTGCTAAATATGAATAAATTTAAATGAAAATGTGTCAAATCTGTCAGAGGTCATGTCACATGTTGTCTTACTTTCACAGACGAGCCGAAAATTCACACTTCAGTTCGACGTGACGAAGCTTTCACGATGATTTCTTCGCTTTATACCACCGCTCAGCATATCATTTTATAATGATTCAATAAAATATAGAACTTATCAACTATGAATTGAATAAATGCCTTCAAATTGTGTTGTTGGTAGAGCTAAATCACAATTTTAAGTGAGTGTTTTGGAACGGCCGCCTTATTGAATCCCCTTATTCTTCGATTTCTTCTTTTTTCTGTCATGGGTGAAATCTCAATTGACTGTTCGCGTTCATTGATTTGACGTGATGGATTCAAATGTTCTGTTTTGTAAGAGTACTTAGCTCGWCTGAACAATATACTATGTCTGGTTTTCGTGAAGATTCACAAATGCCATGAAACAGATTCAATAGATGAAGTGAAAGCTGCAACAGTAACATCCATAGCACATTACAAAACACGATGTCAGAACCGATTTAAACTAACCTTCCTGACTTCGTAATGATCATCTCTGTGCCCAACTCGTTGAATTTTTTCCAGAGATCGGTATTAACGAGTGTGGCACTTATGCTGTCACTCAAATTACTCGCCATTCGTAACAATTTCAGTTTAAAAATGCGAGCAATGAGACGTCAAGGACTCATGAATCAGAACGAAGCCTTTGGTTTCTACGCGCTTTGTGTGAAACCAATACCGCCAAGATGTATTGTTTTATCAGCGAGGTGTTATTCTGTCTTGGCATCGTAAGATCAAATATCATTGCTGAGTGATGGACGCTCGGGAGCGGAAGTGACATACGGACAAAAACCAAATTTCAAAAGGTGTCAAATTTTCTGGTCAGCGATCAAAACGCCCTACCAAATAGGTMAATTAGACTGCAAATTCAAACTTAAATTTTTGSCGAAAGAATACAGTTATTTCTTCCATAATAAACGGGATAAAAAGTGCTTTTCTTGACAAAAATTCGACATTCTTTTTCTGACGAT